CACATTGGTTCAATTACTATAGCTTTGTAATATAATTTGGAATCAGGAAGCATGATGCCTCCAGCTTTATTTTTCTCTCTCAAAATTTCTTTGGCTATTTGGGGCCTTTTGTGATTCCATACAAATTTTAGGATTGTTTTTTCTATTTCTCTGAAAGATGCCATTGGATGGGAATTTTGATAGGGATTACCCTGAATCTGTAGATTGTTTTGGGTAGCATTTATTCTTCCAATCCATGAACATGGAATACCTTTCCATTTATTTATTTTGTCTTCACTTTCTTTCATCAGTGTCTTATATTTTTTGGTGTACAGGTCTTTCACCTCCTTGGCTCAGTTTATTCCTAAGTATTTTATTCTTTTTGATGCACTTGTAAACGGGATTGTTCTCATAATTTTTCTTTCTGAGTGTTCATTATTAGTCCATAGAAATACAACTGATTTTTTGTATATTGATTTTGTATCCTGCAACTTTATTATATTTGTTTATTACTTATAATAGTTTTTTGGTGGAATCATTAGGCTTTTCTTGTATGTAATATCACATCTGCAAATAGTGACAGTTTTGCTTCTTTTCTTATTTAGATGTCTTTTATTTCTTTTTTCTGTTTCTCTCTTTTTTTTTTTTTAACATGTAATTGCTCTGGCTAAGACTTCTAATACTGTGTTGAATGAAAGTGGCAAGAGTGGGTATCCTTGTCTTGTTCCTGTTCTTGGAAGAAAAGCTTTCAGCTTTTCACCATTAAGTATGATATTTGCTGTGGACTTGTTATATATGACCTTTATTATGCTGAGGTATGTTCCCTCTATATCCAGTTTACTGAGAATTTTTATCATAAATGGATGTGTAATTTTGTCAGATGCTTTTTATGCATCTATTGAGATGATCATGTGTGTTTTATCCCTCATTTTGTTAATATGATGTATCACATTAATTGTTTTGGGGATGGTGAACCATTCTTGCATCCATGGAATAAATCCCACTTGGTCATGGTGTATGATCCTTTTAATGTATTGTTGAATTCAGTTTGCTAATATTTTGTTCAGAATTTTTGAACCTGTGTATGTATTTCTTCTTTTGTTTCTGCAAAAAGAATTAAATAAATTTGCCACATAAGTGAGACAAAGTCACAGTTTTATCACACTTCTAGGCAGGTAGGCATAAGTAGAAAGTGCCAGTGGTCACCATGTGATTTGACATATCTAACTTTTCAAAGCTTTGGAGATTACATAGATATCAAATAAACAATTACCAGGAGAACAAATCATGAATTAAGACTGCTGATCAGAGATTCATGGTTTTTTAAGAAGTGGTGGTTTCTTTCAGAGGACATAGGAATGATCTGGGAAATCCAGGTATCATACAAGACCTCATTATACAAATTACACTTGAAAGGACAGTTTTATAGAAACAGAAATAAATATGCATGTAACTCTCTGTGTTGGACAGGGGAACAAGATTAAGCCTTTTATGCTCAAATTGTTACATATTAGATAGATTCTAGTTATATGTCTGCAGCTTTGTGTAGAGGTCAAGGAGATATGTCCTTTCATTTTTGAGAATCTTTGTGACAAATATTATTGAGGAAAAATTGTAATCTCAAGGCTGGACTCTGAAATGAGTTAACATTATAGGAAAGAACAGACCTGAAAATCTCAAATTTCACTGTAGCACAAAGGTGAAGCATAGAGGGAATTTTTAAAAAATAATGAAACAAGGGATGTGAAATATTCTTTACCATTTCATAAATTAGCAGACAGCTTTTATTAGGTATCATTAGGTGCTTTTTATATGGCACTGAAAATGCTTTATGTCTTTTACTTAATTTGGTCCAGACAGCAACACTTTGAGGTAGGTCATATTGTTATTTCCATTTTACTGATGAGGAAATTAAGGCAGTTAAGTAACTTAGTAAAAGGTTACACAGTAAGAGCCAAAGATAAGATTTGCAAACTGAATTTTGGATGATAGATTTTATGTTCTTTATCATGATAGTACACAACCTCCAATTATTTTAAAAATCTGATTGTTTGATGAGTAATTCATCAAAATGTTTTCCCCCCAAATTTAATATGAATCAATGTTATCATTGTTAAATACTGCATAGATATTGCTAACATATAGCTCACCACACTTTAACCTGTTGTCTATCCGTAGATATTTAGAATTATCATAAACTACGCTGATGTACATCATTTTAATAGAACTTTGTCTACTTTTTTATGTTACTTAAGGAAAAAATTCCAGAAGTTGCATTTACAGATTAAATATTTATTAAATGCCTGTAATATGCCAATTTTATTCATGTTATTGGTGTGGATATTAGCATTAAAGAGACATAGTTGCTATCCCTTAACTTGTTTACAGCTGATCACATAATATAAACTGCGAATAGGACTAAAACTATAGTAGGGTATGATAATGATCATTAAAGAAATTGGATGACATGCATTTGAAGTTGATGAGGAGAGATGTCATGGAGACAAACCCAAGGCTGTTAGGTTTTTACCAACATACACTAAAGCCATGGATTGTCAGGGTTTACCAAAACCATCCTCAGATTGACGATTTGCTAGGACTCACAAAATCCAGAAAAGCCGTTATGCTTGTGTTCATGGTTTATTACAGTCAAAGGATACAGATTAAGATCAGCAAAGAGAAAAGTCCAGGAGAAACTAGATGTGAGCTTCCAGTGGAGTCATATAGACAGCACTAAATTCTGCCAGCAACATTTTGTAACAACACATGTGAAGTAGGTCAGGGAAACTCACCTGAGCCTTGATGTCCAACTCTTTATTGAGAGTGAGTCACACAGTCATGGAGCAACTGTGTGACTAGGCTTAGCTGCTACAGAGGTCAAATTGATACAGTGCATCCCAGGACCCCTGGCCAACAAAAATAGGTGTTTACCATAAATCACATTTATAGCATAAATTATCTGTCTGGCATAGCCCAGATATGCTCTTATCAAGCAGAATATTGTAAGGGCTCAGAGGTTGTCTCCCAGGAGCTGTTCAAGGGCCATTCCTTTCTTTGGAAAGAGCAAGGTTTGGGTACTCCAGACCCATTGAGTTCATTGTTTACTGCACCCATGAGATATCCATGAACATGAATGGATTTATTTAATAACTTTCATGCTTTAGTAAATTTTGGTAGTTTATAGATTGTTTCTAACTTGCCAGTGAACTACTACCCATGCTCAGATTTCACTACATAAAGAAGAAGTTCTGAACTAAAGAGACAAGAACGAGAGTTAGAACTGGCTTTGTAGTAAGAGGAATATGAGTTCAAAACAGCTCTGCCACTTTGTGGATTTGGTTTTTTTCTGAGATGTAACTTAGTGTAAACTATACAAACCGTATTCTAAAGCTGGATTGTTTTTAACATTTATGTATATCTATGAAACCATTACACAGCTAAGATATAGCATATTTCCAACACTCCAGGATGCTCCCTTCTGTTTCCTTCCAGTCATTACCAACTTGCCTTTACCCCCAACAAAGGTAACCAATATTCTTTTCACTATTACAATAGATAAGTTTTAACTAATTTGGAAGTTCATATAAATGGAATCGTACATTATGTACTTTTTTTTTTTTTTTTTTTTGCCGTGCTGTGTGGCATGTGGGATCTTAGTTTCCCAACAAGGGATCGAACCTGCACCCCCTGCAGTGGAAATTCAGAGTCTTAACTACTGGACAGCCAGGGAAGTCCCCATTATGTACATTTTTTTCTGCCCTCTTTTGCTCAGCCTCATGTTTATGAAAATCATCTGCTGTTTGTTCAGTTTTATTCTTAAGTAATCTTCCACTATAGGAATGTATCTCATTTAATTTTTCCCTACTTCTGTTGATGCATGTTTGGGTTGTTAACAGTTTCAGGACAGTATAAAGAAATGCAGCTAAAATAATTCTTTTACATACTTTTTGGATGGAAAAACTCATTTCTATTGGGCATATACACAAGAGTGGAATTGCTAAGTCATAGTATATATTTTTTTAGTAGATTGTGTCAAATAGTTGCCCAAAGTAACTGAAATAGTTTACACTCAACAACAAGGGGTTTACAGTTGTAACAGGTGAAAAATGCATAAATTAACTTCTACAGTAGGGGTTAACAAGGTTTTTTTTTCCTGTAAAGGACAGATATTAAATATTTTAGGCTTTGTGGATTACACAGTCTCTGTCACACCTACTCAACTCTACCATTGTAGCACATAAACAGCTATAGATGATATGTAGCATTGTTATATTAATCCTGTTTATCATTTTTCATTCTGTTTATTTGAACCTGTGGATTCAGATTACCACCTGGATTCGTTTCCTTTGCCTAATGAAGCTTTTCTTCTACCTATCTCCTTTGTGTTATTATTGTCGAACATACTACATTTATATATGTTGCAGGCCCAATAATACATGTTATGTGTGTGTATATATATGTATATAATATATATATATATTTTTTGCGGTATGCGGGCCTCTCACTGTTGTGGCCTCTCCCGCTGCGGAGCACAGGCTCCAGACGCACAGGCTCAGTGGCCATGGCTCACGGGCCCAGCCTCTCTGCGGCACGTGGAATCTTCCCGGACCGGGGCACGAACCCGTGTCCCCTGCATCGGCAGGCGGACTCTCAACCACTGCGCCACCAGGGAAGCCCATGTATATGTTTATGTATGTGTATACATATATATGAATTACTTTATACAGTTGATTTAAAAAATTTTTTTTAATTTATTTTTGGCTGCACTTGGTCTTTTGTTGCTGCGTGCAGGCTTTCTCTAGTTGCGGCGAGCAGGGGCTACTCTTCGTTGCAGTGCACGGCCTTCTCATTGCGGTGGCTTCTCTTGTTGCGGAGCATGGGTTCTAGGTGTGCGGCCTTCAGTAGTTGTGGCTCGCAGGCTCTAGAGCACAGGCTCAGTGGTTGTGGCGTACGGGCTTTGTTGCTCCACGGCATGTGAGATCTTCCCAGACCAGGGCTCAAACCCGTGTTCCCTGCATTGGAAGGCAGATTCTTTACCACTGGACCACAAGAGAAGTCCTGGGAACTTTTCATCCATTATTTATTTGAATATATTAAAATGCGCCTTTCCTCTTTTCTGTTACAGTTATTACAGGTGTATGCTTAATGGTGTCCAACATTTCTCTGATGCTCTTTTCATTTTTCTTCCTTGTGTTTTCTTCCTTTGTTCTTCAGATTGCATGATCTCTATCACGTTATCTTTAAGTTTTCTAGTACTTTTTTTTCTGCCCAGTTCACATCTACAGTTGAGTTACTCTAGTGAAATTTTCATTTCAGTTAATACTTTTCAACTCCAGAATTTCCATCTGGTGATATTAAATAACTTCTATCTCTTCACTGATTCTTTATTTGATATGACATTGTGATCATACCTTCATTTACTTTAAGCATGGGTTCCTTTGTTTATTGAACATATTTATAATGGCTACTTTGAAGTCTTTGTTAAATCTGGTTTCTTCCTCACAGGCAGTTTCTGTTGTCTGTTTGGTTTTGGCTTTAGTGTTTTTGGTTTATGGGTTATATTTTCCTACTTCTTCACCTGTCTCTTGTTTGTGGAAAGTAGATATTTTAGATAGTTGTTGTAACTCTGGTACTTTTGTCTACTTCTTCTCCCCAGGCCTGTTATTGTTATTTGCTTTCTTGTTTAGTGACTGGCTATATTAATGAAGTGAAATCTATCTCCCCCATAGTGTAAATCTCTGGTGTTGCTCCTTGGGGTATAGACTTTGCTATTACCACAGTTACCCTTGGATGACAGTGGTTTTGACAGGGCTGTCTTTGAGTGTCTCTTTACCTGACCACACCAAGCTGTTAGGATCCACTGATTGTGACTGATAGCACTATTGTTTTCAGTAATGCTGTGGGGTTACACTGCTTCGCAGACTAATGAAATAAAGTCAGTGTCTGAGATTTGTTCTGACAATAGGAAGGGCTCCCCAAGTATCTTTCTCTGATCCTTTCTGACAAACTAGCCAGCCTACAGTTTAGCATTTAACTCCAATGAATTTTTCAATCTTCTTGCAATAGCCTTTCACCAAAATTTCCAGTGTTTTTGAGAATGTCCTTACCCTTGAACTTCTTCACACTCTGTTGCAAATGAAGGCAGTTCCTTTGGAGAGGGCTCTGGAGGGGATTGGGCAGCAGTCCTAGGTCTCAACTTGCCTCTTGTGGCATGGAACTCCTGCCCTATGAGCCAAGGCAAAGACAGTTGGAACCCCAGTATTCTCAGCAGTGCCACACCCATGGTACAACATACAATTCTTGTGTGGCTACTAGGCAGAAGAAAATCTCCATTCCTTTGTTGCATTTGCCTGAGCAACAGGTATCTGGGGGCAGAATGAGAAATGCTGATGTTCTACTCCTCCCAGGAAGATAGTTATCTGACTGGGAACAGGGCATGAGTGGTGAGGAAGTTTGTGTCCTTGGCTGTACTAGTTTGCAGTGGAATCTTTTTCTCACTAGGATGGGATGGACAAGGAAGGGTGCAGGTTAGATTAAGATACTGCAGACTTTCACAGTTCTTAATAAGTTTTAGTAGATTTACAAATGTTACTTCATTTGCTCTATGTTTTTATATATAATTTTTACCAGTTTCAATGGGGAGCATGTCGGTGGAGCTCCTCATGCTGTCATACCAGAAGTGGAATTCCCTGATCAATTCTCTACAGTTCTAACCATGGACCATGTAAGTTGCTATTTCTCTCTCCTTTGTGAACATTTCATTTGTCTGAATCTTCCCAGAAAGCAGCCCTAAGAGTGTACCCCACATCCCCATAAAAATCCCCATTTTCACTTTCTTGTGAGAGTTGGAGTCAAACAGCACACTGTACCTCCTATGTGTCTATCTATTCTCCAAATAATGTTCAACATTCCTATGTGTTCAGTGTTTTGTTCAGAGCAGCTATAGGGTAGAAATGGAATCCCTAGATGGAGGCATTGACCAGCCTTTTTCATACTCTTGGGTAGAGAAAAAGAGCAAATGGATCCATTTGATGACATATGGGCAAAGTCTGTACTTCTGAACAGACCTATTTTTCCAGGTAGACTGGATTTGATGTTGACTAGTCTCAGTCAGACATAAATAGATTACTGTAGATTTCAGAATTGGAGGAGATCTTATCCAACTTATATGTCTAAATATAATTAAGGCTGATATATTTCCACCAAGCAGACTACTCTGTAGCCACTAAAAAGCATTTAATAAATAATTTTTCATTAGAAGTTATAATTCTTATATAATGTGAAATGGTGATTAACAGTGATGAACTTGGGGTTGTAAGAAATTTTAAAATATTGTTCATATCCCATTTTCTAAGCTAGATATTTTTCCTTTACAGAGGAACGAGGATGTAGAAATTCACTATTATTGATAATACATTCAGCAGGCATGTAGCATGCAGCGTTCATGTATACACTATTTCTTTTAATTTGTAAACTGATTATTTTATTTCCAGACGTGCTTAGCTAAGAAATCCCATAGCATGCAGGAAGATTTCTCTGAATCAAAAGGATTCTTTAAAGACCTGTAGATAGTCTGGTTTGGTAGCATTAATTTCCTTACTTCCCATACCATAGGCTTCTACCCCTGGCCGATGTACTTGCTATTAGACCCCCTTCCTGTAATGCAATTCTTTTTCTTTTTTTTTAAAATTTATATTATTGAAGTATAGTTGATTTACAATGTTGTGTTAATTTCTGTTGTACAGCAAAGTGATTCAGTTATATAGATATATATTCTTTTCCATTTGGTTTATTACAGGATATTGAATATAGTTCCCTGTGCTATACAGTAGTCCCTTATTGTTTATCCATTCTATATAAAATAGTTTAATTCAATTCTTTATTTCTTATCTTTTACTCAAAAATGTTTCCTTCAATTATACTTATGTGGTTTGTTGTTTCAGGAATTGGTGACATTCAGGGATGTGGTCATCAGCTTCTCTCAGGAGGAATGGGAGTATCTGGATTCTGCTCAGAGGGACTTGTACTGGGACGTGATGATGGAAAATTACAGCAACTTGGTCTCACTGGGTAAATTTAGCTGTTTACATAATTTAGAATATGTTCTATAGAATATCAGTTGACATTCAGTGAACTCAAAGCTATCTTTTAAGAAACTTCATGTAATTTCTATGAAGTTCCTTCTCAGTCTCTTATAATTTCTACGTTCATTTATTTTTGGCTGTGTTGGGACTTTGTTACTGCGTGTAGGCTTTCTCTAGTTGCGGTGAGTGGGGACTACTTTTCAGTGCAGTGCACATGCTTCCCATTGCTGTGGCTTATCTTATTGCGGAGCATGGGCTCTAGGCGTGAAGGCTTCAGTAGTTGTGGCACGAGGGCTCAGTAGTTGTGGCTTGCAGGCTGTAGAGCACAGGCTCAGTAGTTGTGGCACACGGGTTTTTTTTTTACATCTTTATTAGTATGATTGCTTTACAATGGTTTGTTAGTTTCTGCTTTATAACAAAGTGAATCAGTTATACATATACATATGTTCCCATATCTCTTCCCTCTTGTGTTTCCCTCCCTCCCACCCTCCCTATCCCACCCCTCCAGGTGGTCACAAAGCACCGAGCTGATCTCCCTGTGCTATGCGGCTGATTCCCACTAGCTATCTACCTTACATTTGGTAGTGTGTATATGTACATTCCTCTCTCTCGCTTTGTCACAGCTTACCCTTCCTCCTCCCCATATCCTCAAGTCCATTCTCTAGTAGGTCTGTGTCTTTATTCCTGTCTTACCCCTAGGTTCTTCATGACATTTTCTTTTTCTTCACTTCCATATATATGTGTTAGCATATGGTATTTGTCTTTCTCTTTCTGACTTACTTCACTCTGTATGACAGACTCTAGGTCCATCCACCTCATTACAAACAGCTCAATTTCATTTCTTTTTATGGCTGAGTAATATTCCATTGTATATATGTGCCACATCTTCTTTATCCATTCATCCGATGATGGACACTTAGGTTGTTTCCATCTCCGGGCTATTGTAAATAGAGCTGCAATGAACATTTTGGTACATGACTCTTTTTGAATTATGGTTTTCTCAGGGTATATGCCCAGTGGTGGGATTGCTGTGTCATATGGTAGTTCTATTTTTAGTTTTTTAAGGAAACTCCATACTGTTCTCCATAGTGGCTGTACCAATTCACATTTCCACCAGCAGTGCAAGAGTGTTCCCTTTTTTCCACACCATCTCCAGCATTTATTGTTTGTAGATTTTTTGATGATGGCCATTCTGACCAGTGTGAGATGATATCTCAATGTAGTTTTGATTTGCATTTCTCTAATGATTAATGATGTTGAGCATTCTTTCATGTGTTTGTTGGCAATCTGTATATCTTCTTTGGAGAAACGTCTATTTAGGTCTTCTGTCCATTTTTGGATTGGGTTGTTTGTTTTTTTGTTATTGAGCTGCATGAGCTGCTTATAAATTTTGGAGATTAATCCTTTGTCAGTTGCTTCATTTGCAAATATTTTCTCCCATTCTGAGGGTTGTCTTTTGGTCTTGTTTATGGTTTCCTTTGCTGTGCAAAAGCTTTGCAGTTTCATTAGGTCCCATTTGTTTATTTTTGTTTTTATTTCCATTTCTCTAGAAGGTGGGTAAAAAAGGGTCTTGCTGTGATTTATGTCACAGAGGGTTCTGCCTATGTTTTCATCTAAGAGTTTGATAGTTTCTGGCCTTACATTTAGGTCTTTAATCCATTTTGAGCTTATTTTTGTGTATGGTGTTAGAGAGTGATCTAATCTCCTACTTTTACATGTAGCTGTCCAGTTTTCTCAGCACCACTTATTGAAGAGGCTGTCCTTTCTCCACTGTACATTCCTGCCTCCTTTATCAAAGATAAGGTGACCATATGTGCATGGGTTTATCTCTGGGTTTTCTATCCTGTTCCATTCATCTATCTTTCTGTTTTTGTGCCAGTACCATACTGTCTTGATTACTGTAGCTTTGTAGTATAGTCTGAAGTCAGGGAGCCTGATTCCTCCAGCTCCGTTTTTCGTTCTCAAGATTGCTTTGGCTATTCGGGGTCTTTTGTGTTTCCATACAAATTGTGAAATTATTTGTTCTAGTTCTGTGAAAAATGCCAGTGGTAGTTTGATAGGGATTGCATTGAATCTGTAGATTGCTTTGGGTAGTAGAGTCATTTTCACAATGTTGATTCTTCCAATCTAAGAACATGGTATATCTCTCCATCTATTTGTATCATCTTTTATTTCTTTCATCAGTGTCTTATAATTTTCTGCATACAGGTCTTTTGTCTCCTTAGGTAGGTTTATTCCTAGATATTTTATTCTTTTTGTTGCAGTGGTAAATGGGAGTGATTTCTTGATTTCACTTTCAGATTTTTCATCATTAGTGTATAGGAATGCCAGAGATTTCTGTGCATTAATTTTTTATCCTGCTACTTTATCAAATTCATTGATTAGCTCTAGTAGTTTTCTGGTAGCATCTTTAGGATTCTCTATGTATAGTATCATGTCATCTGCAAACAGTGACAGCTTTACTTTTCCTTTTCCTATTTGGATTACTTTTATTTCCTTTTCTTCTCTGATTGCTGTGGCTAAAACTTTCAAAACTATGTTGAATAAGAGTGGTGAGAGTGGGCAACCTTGTCTTGTTCCTGATCTTAGTGGAAATGCTTTCAGTTTTTCACCGTTGAGGATGATGTTGGCTGTGGGTTTGTCATCTATGGCCTTTATTATGTTGAGAGAAGTTCCCTCTATGCCTACTTTCTGCAGGGTTTTTATCGTAAATGGGTGTTGAATTTTGTCGAAAGCTTTCTCTGCATCTATTGAGATGATCATATGGTTTTTCTCCTTCAGCTTGTTAATATGGTGTATCACATTGATTGATTTGCATATATTGAAGAATCCTTGCATTCCTGGAATAAACTCCACTTGATCATGGTGTATGATCCTTTTAATGTGCTGTTGGATTCTGTTTGCTAGTATTTTGTTAAGGATTTTTGTATCTATGTTCATCAGTGATATTGACCTGTAGTTTTCTTTCTTTGTGACATGTTTGTCTGGTTTTGGTATCAGAGCGATGGTGGCCTCGTAGAATGAGTTTGGGAGTGTTCCTCCCTCTGCTATATTTTGGAAGAGTTTTAGAAGGATAGGTGTTAGCTCTTCTCTAAATGTTTGATAGAATTCGCCTGTGAAGCCATCTGGTCCTGGGCTTTTGTTTGTTGGAAGATTTTTAATCACAGTTTCAATTTCAGTGCTTGTGATTGGTCTGTTCATATTTCCTATTTCTTCCTGATTCAGTCTTGGTAGGTTGTGCATTTCTAAGAATTTGTCCATTTCTTCCAGGTTGTCCATTTTATTGGCATAGGTTGCTTGTAGTAATCCCTCATGATCTTTTGTATCTCTGCAGTGTCAGTTGTTACTTCTCCTTTTTCATTTCTAATTCTATTGATTTGAGTCTTCTCCCTTTTTTTCTTGATGAGTCTGGCTAGTGGTTTATCAATTTTGTCTTCTCAAAGAACCAGCTTTTAGTTTTATTGATCTTTGCTATCGTTTCCTTCATTTCTTTTTCATTTATTTCTGATCTGATTTTTATGATTTCTTTCCTTCTGCTAACTTTGGGTTTTTTTTGTTCTTCTTTCTCTAATTGCTTTAGGTGCAAGGTTAGGTTGTTTATTCGAGATGTTTCCTGTTTCTTAAGGTAGGACTGTACTGCTATAAACTTCCCTCTTAGAACTGCTTTTGCTGCATCCCATAGGTTTTGGGTTGTCGTGTCTCCATTGTCATTTGTTTCTAGGTATTTTTTGATTTCCTCTTTGATTTCTTCAGTGATCATTTCGTTATTAAGTAGTGTATTGTTTAGCCTCCATGTGTTTGTATTTCTTACAGATCTTTTCCTGTAATTGATATCTAGTCTCACAGCGTTGTGGTCGGAAAAGATACTTGATACAATTTCAATTTTCTTAAATTTACCAAGGACTGATTTGTGACCCAAGATATGATCTATCCTGGAGAATGTTCCATGAGCACTTGAGAAAAATGTGTATTCTGTTGTTTTTGGATGGACTGTCCTATAAATATCAATTAAGTCCATCTTGTTTAATGTATCAGTTAAAGCTTGTGTTTCCTTATTTATTTTCATTTTGGATGATCTGTCCATTGGTGAAAGTGGGGTGTTAAAGTCCCCTACTATGAATGTGTTACTGTCAATTTCCCCTTTTATGGCTGTTAGTATTTGCCTTATGTATTGAGGTGCTCCTATATTGGGCGCATAAATATTTACAATTGTTATAATTTTGTCTTGGATCGATCACTTGATCATTAGGTAGTGTCCTTTGTCTCTTCTAGTAGACTTCATTTTAAAGTCTATTTTGTCTGATATGAGAATTGCTACTTCAGCTTTCTTTTGGTTTCAATTTGCATGATATATCTTTTTTCATCCCCTTACTTTCAGTCTGTATGTGTCTCTAGGTCTGAACTGGGTCTCTTGTAGACAGCATATATATGGGTCTTGTTTTTGTATCCATTTAGCCAGTCTGTGTCTTTTGGTGGGAGCATTTAGTCAATTTACATTTAAGGTAATTATAGATATGTATGTTCCTATTCCCATTTTCTTAATTGTTTTGGGTTCGTTATTGTAGGTCTTTTCCTTCTCTTGTGTTTCTTGCCTAGAGAAGTTCCTTTAGCATTGCTGTAAAGCTGGTTTGGTGGTGCTGAACTCTCTCAGCTTTTGCTTGCCTGTAAAGGTTTTAATTTCTCCATCAAATCTGAATGAGATCCTTGTTGGGTAGAGTAATCTTGGTTGCAGGTTTTTCTCCTTCTTCACTTCAAATATGTCCTGCCAGTCCCTTCTGGCTTGCAGTGTTTCTGCTGAAAGATCAGCTGTTAAACTTATGGGGATTCCCTTATGTGTTATTTGTTGTTTTTCCCTTGCTGCTTTTAATATGTTTTCTTTGTATTTAATTTTTGACAGTTTGATTACTATGTGTCTTGGCGTATTTCTCCTTGAATTTATCCTGTATGGGACTCTCTGTGCTTCCTGGACTTGATTAACTATTTCCT